GCCCAGTTGGAATCTATGATCAGATAACCCCCTGAGGACACTTTCCATAGAATCTCCTTTCTTATAATCCACCAGTGAAAGAATAAAAATCCATGAACACTGCAGGATGGCCATTCCTTCTTGTTGGCTTAAGGAAATTGTGGTGTGTGCTGGTCATCCTGGTGTCCATTTATCACCTCCTGCTTCCTTTCAGATAAATTCCCTGGTTTGCACAAGAAATTAGCATCGACCTTTACTATTCCACTCCATTAATTTTCAGCAGGCTGGATTCAGCATGGAACAAAACAGGCCCAAATTTCCACCTTCGTGGCATTTGTATTCTTGTGGAAAGTGCCACACCGGGAAAAATAAAATGAATTATCTCATATGTTACAATTAGATGCTATAGACAAGTAGACCAGAGAAAGATAAATGAAGATAAATAAAGTCTTCATTGAAAAAGTACCGTTGAGCAGAAACCTACGAGCGGCCCAAGAAAACTCTGTTCCGTGGACGTGTACTGCTGACCCCATCAGGTGCCTGCACATGGGCCTTGAGCAGAGACGGACTGACTGATGTTAATTTACATTTTTTTACCATGCTTATCACTGTGACCGTATTGCTTTACCCTGTAGGAGGAAAAGGCATGGCAGGCTGGGAAGGTGGGATCCGCGTGCCTGGACTTTTCCGATGGACTGGGAGATTGCCAGCTGGAAATGTCATCAATGAACCTACAAGCTTGATGGACATCCTTCCGACTGTTGCAGCTCTGATGGGAGGAATTGTCCCTCAGGACAGGTGACGTCCTATAACCTGTTCACAGAGCTTGTTTTTATCTTTGTCTCGGGAAGATTCAGGTCACAGGGGGTAAACTCTATTCTCACGGGGACACTTTCTCTCCGGTACCCAGGTGATGTTCACCTTGGTCTATGGCTTTGCCTCTTGACTGTGACTCACACACTACAGGCCTCAATGGTGCCGGCCTGTGGCCCGTCTGAGACACTTTGTATTTTTATTTGGGAGGAAGATGGAGACAGGAAGGTTTGTTGAAGAAACTATGGCCAAACTCAGTCATCCATGTAGGAGGAAAAATCATTATGAGAAAGTATAAAATTGATTTCCAAAATGGGTGCACCATTTGGCATTGTCACCAACAATAAATGAGAGTTTCAGTTACACCACCTCCTCGCCAACACTTAAAATGCTCTTTTTCATTTTAGCTATAACTATGGACTGGAATCCCAATGGGTATAAATTTGTGTTTCCCAATTGACTAATGATGTTAAACACTCCTGTGTGTACTTATTTTCTATCTGTATCTCTTTTTTTTTGTGAAGAGTCTCTTCATATCTCCAGTCCATTTATAAATTGGGTATTTCATTTTATTATTGTTGATTTGTAAGAGCTCTTTACATATTCTGGATACAACTTCATAAGATATGAGTTTTGCTAACATTTTCTTCTAGTTTATGGCTTGTCTGTTCATTTTCTGACATTTTGTCATTGAAAAAGCAGATTTTAATTTTTGTAATGGCCAATTTATCACTTTCTCTTTTATAGATTAGAGTTTTTAGGCAATATCATAAAAGCATTTTTCTAGTCCAAGGTCACAAAGACTCCTCCCTACATTTTTTTGTAGAGGTCTTACAGTTTCAGGTTTTTCATTTAGCTTCACTGTTGACGTTGAGTTAATTTTTTATACAGAGTGAGGTAGAGGTTGAGATTTATTTTCCTTGCATTTAAATATTTCTAGTGTTTCTAGTGCCGTTTATTGAAAGACTGTTCTTCCTCTGCTGAATTACTTTGTGCATTTGTTGAAAATCAACCGACAAGATATGCCTGGGCCTATTCCTGGACTCTCTCCTGTTCCATTGATCCATTTACCTATTCTTATGTCAATGCCACATTGTCTTGATTAGGTTAACATTATAATAAATTTTGGAATCATGTGGTGTGAGCGGGGAAGCTGTTTTTTCTTTTTTTCAAAATCATTTAAGCTATTCTAAGTTTCTTGTTTCCCCAAAAAATTATAAGAAAAGATTTCTTGATTTATACAAATGATGCTTCTGGAGTTTTTATTCAGATTGCATTAAATCTATACATCAATTTGTAGAAAACAAACACTTTAAGAATTTTTGAGCCTTCAAATCTGTGAATTGATTTATCTGTCCACTTATTTCTCTCAGGTGCTTTGTGCCTTTCAGCGTACAAACACTTAACATTAAAAAAACAAGGTACTCCTGGATGTTTTCTAATTTTTGATGCTGTAATAAATGGTGTTTTTAAAAGAGTAATACCCAGTTGTTCATTGCTAAAATATAGAGGTAAAATAGATGTTTTTTTACAGTTGGTCCTGAATTCATGACCTTGAAAAAATTTACCTATTAGTTCCAATAGTTTTTTGGAAGGATTATCAATAAAAGTAATGATTTTATCCGAGAATAAAGACAATTTTATTTCTTTTATGATCATTTTTTTAGGATTATCTGGGACTTAGTCTATTTTCTCCTATGAGGTAGGTTTTATGATTATTTCTTTTTCTTATAAGGTATGTGATATGTTTTCTGACGTAAGATTAAAATAATACCATTTTTTAGAGGTTCTTTAAAATCCCTTTGTCAGGGTAGTAATACAATTGCAAATGGAAATCTGATTGAGCTGTTGAGACCTTCTGTGGCCACGGCCACAGCGCTCATGAGATGGCCTATGGATTGACCCATCCCTCCCTTGTGCTATTTCACTGGAAAAGCTGTTTTCGGTTCCTGTTTTTCTCTCCTTGAGAGCCTGCACGATGTCCCTACACCCTCAGCACATTGTCCTCTGGGCCCCAGGGATGCCACGAAATGCACCGAGCATCCTTCTAACAGCCCGATGACCGGATTCCCTTGCCTGACCTTCTTTGTGTGTGTCCACAGGGTGATTGACGGCCGAAACCTCATGCCCTTGCTTCAGGGTGAGGTCCAGCAATCGGAGCATGAGTTTCTGTTTCACTACTGCAGTAGGTTCCTCCACGCCGCACGTTGGCACCCGAAGGACAGTAAGTACACCTGCCCCTGCACCCTCCAGGTGCCAAGAGCAGGGTCCCTTTAGTCAATTCTCCATACTTTCTTCCAATTTATCCCCGAGCCCAGTCCTTTTAGTCTCGGGTTACCACTGAAAATACCTTCTCCAGACTGTTTCTAAGAATTTCTCTCCTTTAGAAAGATGGAGAGATAACTTTAAGAAATATCCATTTTGAGAAACACTTTGTTAGTTTATTTTGTTCATTAGATTCCACGTATGAGTGAGATCAAGCGATACTTGTCTTTCTCTGACGGGCTTATTTCACTTAGCACAATACTCTCCCAGTCCCTCCATGTTCTCTCAAAGGATAAGAGATCCACCTTTTTCACAGCTGCATAGTAGTCCACGGTGTAGACGTACCACAGCTTTTTTTTCCGNGATGGCCTATGGATTGACCCATCCCTCCCTTGTGCTATTTCACTGGAAAAGCTGTTTTCGGTTCCTGTTTTTCTCTCCTTGAGAGCCTGCACGATGTCCCTACACCCTCAGCACATTGTCCTCTGGGCCCCAGGGATGCCACGAAATGCACCGAGCATCCTTCTAACAGCCCGATGACCGGATTCCCTTGCCTGACCTTCTTTGTGTGTGTCCACAGGGTGATTGACGGCCGAAACCTCATGCCCTTGCTTCAGGGTGAGGTCCAGCAATCGGAGCATGAGTTTCTGTTTCACTACTGCAGTAGGTTCCTCCACGCCGCACGTTGGCACCCGAAGGACAGTAAGTACACCTGCCCCTGCACCCTCCAGGTGCCAAGAGCAGGGTCCCTTTAGTCAATTCTCCATACTTTCTTCCAATTTATCCCCGAGCCCAGTCCTTTTAGTCTCGGGTTACCACTGAAAATACCTTCTCCAGAATGTTTCTAAGAATTTCTCTCCTTTAGAAAGATGGAGAGATAACTTTAAGAAATATCCATTTTGAGAAACACTTTGTTAGTTTATTTTGTTCATTAGATTCCACGTATGAGTGAGATCAAGCGATACTTGTCTTTCTCTGACGGGCTTATTTCACTTAGCACAATACTCTCCCAGTCCCTCCATGTTCTCTCAAAGGATAAGAGATCCACCTTTTTCACAGCTGCATAGTAGTCCACGGTGTAGACGTACCACAGCTTTTTTTTCCGCTCATCTACTGGTGGGCACTTGGGCTGCTTCCCAGTGTTGACTAAGTGGAGACAGGCTCATGGATACAGAGAACAAATCGACAGCTGTCAGAGGGAAGGGGGTGTGGGCTGGGTAGGAATGGTGAGGGGACTCAGCAAAGAAAAAATTAGAAAGAAAGACTCACGGGCACCGAGAGTAGCATGGCGATTGCTTGGGGGACGTGTGGTAGGGGAGGTAGGAGAGGGTAAAGGGGAGATTAATGGCGATGGAAGGAGACTTGACTTGGGGGGTGAACACACGATATAATATACAGATGATGCATTATGGAATTGTACCCCTGAAACCTATATAATTTTATTAACCAATGTCACCCCTATACATTTAATTGAAAAGAAATATCAGTTTTGAGATGTGTAACGTTACACTCAGGGATTCTGATGGTCTCGATGTTCTGAAGATCGATTGATATTTAAGTTAACTTGTGGGGCAAAGAGAAAGACCAGGAAACGCTCGAGAAGACAGAAGAAGACGTCAAGTGGGCACACGGGGCTGGATGTCCCTCACGTCTCGTTTCCTCTCTAGGTGAGGCCGTGTGGAAGGTTCATTACGTGACACCCACATTCCAGCCTCCAGGAGCTCAGGCGTGCTATGAGGAAGGCCTGTGCCAATGCACAGGGGACATGGTCACCTACCACGACCCTCCCCTGCTCTTCGACCTGTCCCGGGACCCCGGCGAGTCGACCCCGCTGACCAACGACACGGAGCCCCTCTATGACTTAGTCATCAGCACGGTGGCCGACGCCCTCAGGGAACACAGGAAAACCATCACCCCCGTTCAGCTGCAGCTTGGGACCGACCTGAATCGGCGGTTTGTGTCGCTGATGCCCTGTTGCGGGGTGTTCCCCTTCTGTATGTGTGACAAAGAAGGCAGACACTGAAAATGAGAAGTGGCAACCGACGCAGAGCCGGTGGCCGAAAGCCACCAACCTTGGCTCTTTCAAATACGCAAGGAATGGATCTGAAATGAGTAAACACTGATATTGAAACATGCAACTGACTGATGAATCTCAGCGGGAAAGGGGGGGCAGCGAGCCAAGAGGTTAACCAAATAACTTATATGCATTTGTGCATAACCCGTGGACACATACAATAGTTCAGTGAAGGCCTGGGGGCGGCGGTGGAGGGGTCCAATGGGGTGGAAAAGGGGGGTCCTCTGTAATACTTCCAACAATAAAGATAAATTTTTCAAAAGATTGAAACTATGAAAGGATGCCGCAAAATAAACTAAAACGAAAGCCAATACATTGCCTCTACCAGTGCAGACTATTAAATGTCCATGGGTTGTAGCGCCCCCCCCCTTTAACTTTTTGGGGGACATTCTCGGTGCTCAATGCCTGTCTAACTTCCAACTATTTTTTTTAAATATATCTTTATTGATTTCAGAGAAAGGAAAGGAGAGGGAGAGAGAGAGAGATAGAAACATCAATGATGAGAGAGTCATCGATCGAGCCCACAACCCGGGCATGTGCCCTGACCGGGAATCGAACCCCGATCGCCTGGATCCTAGGCCGACGCTCAACCACTGAGCCACGCTGGGCCAGGCTAACTTCCAACTCTTAAACCTGGCTCTCAGAGCTGGAAAACAAGCATCCACCGTCATTTTCCTCATTGGCCCTGTGCCTACTCAGAGCAAACTGTAGAAGCCAGCACTGTGTGCATCTAAGTTGTTGATTAGGAGAGTAAAAGATTCCCTTTATTTAGATAACCGGTCTGCAGATTCTTCTCGACATATGATGGGGTTACATCTCAGTAAGCCCGTTGCCCGTGGACCGTATCATACTCCGAATATGCATTTAATGCCCCTAATCTACCAAACATCATAGCGTAGCCCAGCTCACCTTCAACGTGCTCAAAACACTTCCATTTACCCCGCATTCGGGCCATTTCCCCGAGGTTCCTCTCCCGAGCCATTACATTTCCCCGCTTCTCACCAGAAGCAGGAGACGCAGATGGGCATCCTGTGAGTGTGATGGGATTCGACGGCACAAAACACAATATCCAAAAATGTTGGCAATGCAGTTGGCTCAACTGTCTGGCTGTTGACCCTCAAAGCGAGGGGCCTGAAGGAGAGCTATTGTTGAGCGAATCTGTCGAGAAGCATGAGAGAATGTGGGACCGCACGCCCCTATCCCAGGATACAATCAGAATAAAATAAAATTGAACAGCAGTGTTGACTGGATGAACATCCCCTTTGTACCATTGTCAAGTCAAACAATTGTCAAGTCCGACTATCGCCCGTCAGGGACCATCCGTACTCTAAAGTAGCCATTCAGCCGCTGAAAGGATATTTTTTCCCCAAAAACAAAAACAAAAAACCTAAATCAACGTGTTTCCTTTTTTTTTAATTGAACTTATTGGGGTGACACTGGTTGATAAAATTATATAGGTTTCAGGTGAACGATTCTATAATTCGTCATCTGTATTTGTATTGTGTGTTCACCACCCCAGCTCAAGTCTCCTTCCATCACCCCCTTTACTTCTCCTACATCCCCTGACCCCCCCTTTCTCTCTGGTAATCACCACACGGTGGTACCTCAGTTTTCGAACGTCTCTGTTGACGCACATTTTGGGTTTATGAACGCAGTAAACCCGGAAGGAAACGCTTCGGAAGTCAAATGTGCCACGCGGCTTGTGCTGAGGGCAAGATCCTGGAGGCCCAGCTGTCGGCTGTTGAGTCCTGAGCACCTGAGCAACACCCAGGTGAAATTTGGGCTTATTTGGTGACTGTGTGCAGTCAATCTGTGCTCATCTCATCTCAGGAGCCCTCTGCCCATCAGCCTTTTATTTTGTGGAAATACAAGCGGCGATTTTACGTTTTGAAGCCTCTGCTGGATAAATGCTCCAACTCAAGAGAATCATGAACAGAACAGCGATCGAGGTGGTGAAGGAAATTATTTCCAAACCTGAAAGTGGTGTCCGTGCATGGGGCCTGGCAGCGCAGTTCGGGATGGCCAAGTCTGCAAGTTGCACCATCTGAAAAAAAATAAAGAAGCCTTGAAAGGAGCCAATGGTTGCAAGACGTCTGAAAACACTTATAAGACAAACAACACAGACAGCTGAAGAAGCGGAAAAATTGCTTTTCTTCCGGATAAATGAGAAACAGTTGGCCGGAGACGGCATTTCTGAGAGCGTGATTTGTGAAAAAACTGTTTCGTTGGCATGCTGACCGCCTCAAAGTTGCATGCTGACCTCAGATTTGCATGCTGACCTCAAATCTGCACGCTGACCTCAAATCTGCATGCTGACCTCCTCAAATTTGCATGCTGACCTCCTCAAATTTGCATGCTGACCTCAAATTTGCATGCTGACCTCAAATTTGCATGCTGACCTCAACAAATAAGACACCCTTGGAACAAGCGCTGAGGGCGATATTTTCAAGGCAAGCAGAGGGTGGCTTGAAAACTTGAAAACAAGTGGCGTACTGAGTATGGCGAGACGTGGTGAAACGGCCAACAAAGACGCCGCCGAACAATTTGGGAATTTAAAGATTATGCAGAGGCAGAGAGTTTCCTTCCCCAACAAGTTCTCAGCTGTGATGAGCCAGGCCTCTTTTGGAAGAAAATGCCAAAGAAAACCTGCGTAACAGAGGAGAAATCATTACCCAGGACACAAGCCCACGAAAGGCAGGCTGACCCTTTTATCTTGTGGGAATGCACGTGGGGATTTTACGTTTTGAAGCCTTTGCTGGTTCACCAGTCTGAGAACCCAGGGTATTTAAGAAAAACAATGTCATAAAAAGCCAATTGCATGGGATGTGGAGAGCACACAGCAAAGCTGGGGTAACTGGGCGATTTTTTTTTATTGAGTGGGTTCATGAAGTGTTCGGGCCAAGTGCGTCCAAGACAAAAATCATCCAATGAAGTGCCCGCTTGTTATGGATACTGCTCCAGCTCACCCTCCAGGCTGGGAGGACCAGTTGATAAAAGAGTTTATTTTTATTGATGTAAAGTGTTTGCCCCCCAACACGAGCCCGCTCATCCAGCCCGTGGACCAGCAGGTCTTATCTAATGTTAAGAAGCTTTACGCCGAAGCTCTGTCCCGAAGGTGCTTCGATGTGACCTCGAACATAAGGGTAACCCTCAGAAATGATTCTGGAAGAATCTTCGATATCCCACATTGCTTCCATCTCATAGACAGAGCAGGGAGGGGGTGTCTCCCAGAACAGTGAGGTCAGCGTGGAAGAAACTGTGGCCAGAAGCTGTCCCTGGACGTGCATTTGAGGGTGTTGATGAGGATGCTCCTGTTGCTGAGGATTCTGTGTCTCTGGGACAGTCCACGGGCTTGGAAGTGAGTGGCAATGACGTGGAGGGGTCGGTGGGGACCACGGGCCTGAATGCACCCCAGAAGACCTTCCAGACGTTTGTTCTGACGGAGCAGCCACGGGTGGCCACTGAGGAACTGTCCTCGGAGGAACAGGAGGGAAGAGAGAGCGTTTCTATCGCACTGATCAGAGACACGTGTGCAAAACGGGCGGAAGGGCAAATTTTTGTTGAAAAAAATATCAAGGCCACTGTACGTCACGCCGCTGGTCCTGTCGATGACGCTCTGTCTCCCTTTAGACAAATTTTTAAAATAGGGAAAAAAGCAAATATCAGTTGGCAAAATCTTTAGTGAGGAAAAATCCAGTGCATCTGAACCAGGGGTCGGTGGTGGAAAAAAATTAAAGGGAAGGAAACAGCAGGAGAGGGGTCACCTGTAGTGATTCTGTAAGAGGACCACAGACACCTGAGCAAGTCACCTGTTGTGATTATTGAAGGGAACCCCCCCCCCGGCCAAACCATGACTATCATCATTGCCGGTAAGAAAAAATGACATTTTCATTTTTATCATCTACAGTGCAGCACTGTTTTTACGCTGTGTTTATTTATTATTGCTTTTACACTACAGGGTGTGGTGTTTATTGCTTTCACTGGGTATCATTTAATGGATCAGCGGTAACATTCGATAGTGAAAATTCACGTGAAATCGCTGTTTTAGGGGTTGACTTTAAAAGCCTGGGGCGGATGCGTCCGTTTTGCATTGCTTTCTACGGGGAACCATGCCTCGGTTTCCGAACGTTTCAGAACTCGGACCACATTCGAAAACCGAGGTACCACCATATGGTAGCCTGTGTCTAGGAATTTAATGCAATCACCTGGGTTGCGGGTTCGATCCCTGGGCCCTGGTAGAGGTGCTTCTGGGAGGCAAACATTCAATGTTTCTCTCCCTTCCTTCCACTCTAAAAAAAAAAAATCAATGGAAAAAAATATCTTTGGGTGAATATTAACAAAACAAAAACAAAAAAAAACAAACAAACAAATTCTCAGGGGTCGCTTAACTCACTTTATAAACCAGGAATGAGCGAACTCTCAGAGCCAACTAGCAACTCTTTTCAGCTCCGCGGGCCCTTTGGTCTGTTGAAAATTATTTGCATCTCTGCCGTGATAGCGAGAAAGCAGCCGCTCAGGATACATCGATGAATTTAGCCTGGCCGTGTGCCCCGAAAACGGTGCGTCACTGAACATTTTCCTTCCTTGGAGACATTCAAGGCATTTTAAAATGTGAGAAACCATTCTGAGCTCGTGGGCCATACAAAAAAATAAAATAAACTGATGAATGAAATAGATCCAGAGACACGAGAGCGTGGAACAGGCTGAGGGATCGCAGAGGGAAGGTGGGAGGGCGGGAAGAGATTAATTAAAGAATATATATCCATCTGTGCGTAACCCAAGGACACAGACAATACTGCAGGAAGGCCTAGGAAGGGGGCCGGAGCTTGGTGGAGGGGATCAATGGGGGGAAAGGGGAACCTCTGTAATACTCTCAACCAGAGTATTACATTTAAAAATACATTTAAAAATAAATGAAATACATTTATTTTTGTATTTAAAAATAAATT